AAAGATTGCCAGGGTGGATGATCCAAGGAAGACCATGGATGGCTTCAGTTTTCTGAAAACACCCTGGGTTGGAGAGGGTTGGGATTGGATTGATTTCCATTGGAGGGACTCCGGATCACAAGACCGATGACTTGAGACTACAAAGAGCTCAACAGCATATACAGCAGCTCACCCTCCCGTCCTGTCCACGGGGTCCCTAATTTTGATATGCTCCAGCTCTTGGTCAAAGACCCCTTCCAGTGCGTCTCATTCTCCACAGCAGCCAACCAAGCCTGAAACCACCAGCCAAGAGGCCAGTCAAGGCCGATGATGACAGCAGGCTTTGAAACCACTATGATCTGTCCCAGCCTGATGCCAGTAGCTCATTTAGAACAGCCATCAAACTTGTTAAATTGGAAAATGAGCCAACCAGGCATAAAACCATGAACCAGCCATGAACCAATTGGCCATCAAACTTGTTTCATTGGAAAATGAGCCAACCAGGCATAAAGCCATGAACCAGCCATGAACCAACCGGCCATAAAACTTGTTTCATTGGAAAATTCCCAACCAGCCATGCTCTGGGCAGCCTGTTTAGTGCATGTGGCTCTCTGGACTGGAGTCTTGTAAATCCAAAATTGCTCCAGCGTAACTGAGATCTGAGTGTGCCCCATGGTCTTTGAGCTGGATTATTAGCTTGCTGGACTGGAGCTCACTCAGAACAGGGTCCTACCCCCGAACTATGGCCCTGCACTGCTGTAGGTGTGGAAGTGGCCGTAGGTGCTACGTACCCCACTGAACGCAGCGTTCAGAGAGAGCAGGTCTGCGTACGCGGCGTATCGGCTGAACCTCCTCAAGTTGACAGAGAGCCAGGCAGAGGTGTTGGTGAGGCCATCGACACATGCAGACCCTGCGAGGAAGAAGGAGCGGCAATGGGGGCATCTCCAACGAAGGCTGGACAAATGAGGCATTGCAAAGATGCGCGGCATCTGCAGGGATATCTAGCTCAGCCTCCGCCTGCTTCTCCTTCAGACCTGAGGAAGGGCACACGGTGCCTGAAAGCTTGTCCAACAGCTCTCCCAATTATATGGGTGGTTAAATAAGACCCCACAAGACAGCCTTGCCTCACAAGATTTAACAGGCCATGAGCTACGAGAAAGAGGAGTCAAAGCACCGCCCCAACCCCGCAGTAAAACGTCTGCGTCATTGTGTAAGTGCAGCGGTTTCCGGGCGGCCGATGTGCCCGCCAGTACCTTTGTGCATGAGTTGTCTGCAAAGATTTTCACGTATTCGAGCAAAGTCGCCATTCAGATCTGGTAGGAGCCAAAGGGGTGCTCGGCTTGCCTCTTACCTTCAGCTTTTAACCCTTTCAGGAAAGAGAGCTGGAAGCCCCTATAGACGGCCTCTCGGGTAGCGTGGCTCATCTCCTTAAATTCTAGGTCCAGGGCTTGAACTCTTAAAAGGCAACAAGACACGAGCATGAGAGAGAGCAAGCAGATAGGCTATGACAGGCAAACTGTCTGATTCCCTTTAGAGAAGAGGTTACCAAATGCGCTCACCTGACCCTGAACGTTGGCGGATGGATCCTGCTCTTGGGTACCATGCCCTTGCACCTCCGCTGTGTCTCTCACCCCGTCTTTCCCTAGCTCACTCACTCTTGTGTCATTCGTTCATGAATCCCCCATTCGCCTTTCCCAGCCTCTCATCAGAGAAGCTGATGTTATGAGTGCCAAGATATCAGTCACGTGTGTATAGTGACCCAGGATCGCATCTAGCAGCCCATTCATCCAATGAACCTATCGCCCAGGTAGAAGATGTCACGCAGTCCTGCCACCACCTCAAGCTACTTCTGTCCGTTTCCCTCTGCAATTCTTGCCTCTGAAATTATCATCTCCCTCTGCAATTATTAGCACACTTGTGAGGTCAGGCCCTTGCAATACCATGTGCATCCAGCCCCGGTCTCCTGCATACTCCACCCCGAGAGGAAAGATTAGTGATGTTAATGCTTCCACTAGATGAAACCCTGACACATACATGGCCTGATACTGTGCACATCTCATGGTCTTGTTGTGAAGGCACTGGAGGATGTTGGCAGAAATGGCAGATAAAAAGGGCCGCAGCCTCTTTTGGAACCACGGCCCCACAAACTCTGTCTCGTTGAAACGCTCTTCGTTCCTCAGCTTCCCGTCCCATAAAGCCTCCAGCACAACGCCCTTCTGCTTTGCTGGGATGAGGGAGTCATTAACCTGCAGCATAAACACGACCCTTTTGACCGGGTGTAGTCATCCAGGGATCCCCAAGGGCTTTACAAACATTACTTCAATCATGACAGTTCCCAGTGAGAGATGCTCAAGCCTTTTATCATAAGATGAATTGCTTTGTGCATTCAGCTAAGCGTTTGCAAAACTGCATCATGGTGAAATGAAGTTGGCCAACGTATCCGTGAAACTATTCACAAGTGAATATTGCATTTTTCTAGTCCATTCCCAAGCAACCTCACACTGCAAGACTGGAGGTGGCTATTGCCTCCTTTTAAGAAG